GTTAGTAGTTTGTCTCACTATTATAACTGAAACAGTACTACATGTAGTACTTCCGAAGTGTGTGTGTCCGTCATACCATAACTCAGCCTCACTCACCAATGCAGTTACTATAACGTCTATCTCTAATCAAATACCACAGACATTAATGTTGGTGGTAGTAATTTTATTTCGGTAATATGTTTATAGCACTCTAAGTAGAGTATATCATAAGATTATTCACAGTCACGTGATAAAGGGACTGTGGATAATATTCTTACCCTGATTGGCTACTAATGGATATGTTCTATGATATGTGTTGGCAAGTATCACTCTCAAATCCATATACGTGACGTCATAAGCGACGTAGTCGAGATCCCGCGTCATTATGTCCTCGGCGAATATATGATGCGTTCTGATGGGAATATAAAAAAAAAAACATGCGGCATGTTTAATTTGTGCTTTTCATCTGACTCTTTGAACGCACTGAACACGCATTTATCAATATCCAACCTCTTACCTATTCACATACGCCTTACCATATTAATAATACATACGCTTGACAAGTTATGACAACGTGGGGCATTGTAAAAAAAAACAAAAACAAGCAGGTATACAAAAACAAACAAATAAGTCTACTTTATAGACTTGCATTGCGCATAGATGTGTGCCTCGTTAGCGCAGTAGGCAGCGCGTCAGTCTCATAATCTGAAGGTCGTGAGTTCGATCCTCACACGGGGCAGCCAACTTTTTTTCCCACTCGTTAATTTTAATTTCATATTAGTCAAAGTAATCAAGCGTGACGTAAGAACGTGTAGCTTAAACATTAGACAGTACTGATAAAACATTGTTTTTAAATTTGTGTTGTCATCATTTGATACTTGGCAGCAGACAAAGCACTGCCTATTGTTCGGCCACTTAAACCTTATAGCAACTTAGTTTTAGAACAAACCCAAAAAATAGCAACTTACTATATAACAACATGCGCCTCGTTAGCGCAGTAGGCAGCGCGTCAGTCTCATAATCTGAAGGTCGTGAGTTCGATCCTCACACGGGGCAGCCAACTTTTTTCCACTTGTTAATTTGTAGTTTTAGTATTAGTCAAAGCACAACACGGCAAACAACATAAAAGTTATTGACGTAAGAACGTGTAGCCTAATATAAAACGTAATGGCCAGAGCATATATATGATACGAAAACTAATCTTCATGATTGACTGTTACAAGTTGCATGTATTACATGTTTGCCTCACCTTGCTTCTCCCGTTGGAATATCGGGAAGATACGGCAATTTGTTTATCTGTATAAGACTATCGTATATGGATGGTTGTAACAAAAGTGCAATTGCGTTGGCAATTAATACTGCAACCTGGAAAAAACAAGTAGAGCTACTTTAAAAATGTACAACAATGTTAAAGCGGGCTGGTTGTCACCTGCGCACGCGCTGGAATTGAGTCCCAAGTAAGGCTCATAGGTAGACGCTTGTTTGTAAACAATGACACGCTATGGCCATCTGACGCATGCGCAGGTGACGACTCCCCGCTTTAAGTTAGCGGGTAAATTACCAGACATGGTATTACCAAAGACATCATTTGCACAACATGTCGACGGAACACATCACCTGTCAGTAACTCGTATCTCACGAAACAATTCTCTGTACCTTCAGTGTCCATTTTTTAATAATACGTTTTCTCAACAACAACTTACCATCACCGGCAATATATGAGTTATTTGGCCTGATAGTTCGGCTACTATTACAGCTGTAGATACGGTGTGAGTAACGCCCCCAGACAGAGCAGCGGCGCCTGTAAAACATTGGAATAATATTCTAAATACCCATTTCAGTCGTTTCGTCTAGCGATGTAGCATTTCTCTGGCGTAAAAATAACGCATCTGATTGGTTGATAGCTTCTCCAAAGATTTGAATCATTTAAACAATATCACAGCTGACATTTTATAAGATGGCGACCAAAGTCTCGCGAGATTTAACTGACGCATAAATTTGCCTTTGCACATACCCACTACAGCATAACCGCCTGGTATGATGGGATAGACCCTACCACCTTGCCATATACCCTCGGGGAACCAGGCAGCCATGGACTCCCCTATGAGCCGTCCAAATGCAGCTCCAACGATGAATATTGGCATGAATACGCCGCAGGCTATTGGCATAGTGATAGCTACGACAGTCATCCAGAACTGAAAACCATGTACGTTAATTACAATGAGAAAGACTTCACCATATAGAATCAGGTATGTTGACTGCTAGTTCACACACTTCCATCGCGTTAGACATGTGTGTTTTATTCCGTATGTCTTGTAGAATTATTTTAGAATTACCAGATGAAATGAATGTATTTAATTTTGTTAAAAAATACATAGACACGTCAATAGATGTATGACTTGAAAATCACATACCGTCATTAAGGTGTAAACACTCAGCGATAAAAAAACATTTCCGTGATTGCCCAGCCAGTAAGAAGCATACTGCGACTGCGCGACTGTTTCCTCACTTGCGCCCGCCCATGTTTCGTTGCTGAAAAGTGAGTTTAGCACCTGACCCGGGGTCAACTGTAATGATGACAAATGGAGTATTGTTAGCTTGCAGACGTACAGTTCGTACTCATTAAAGCGGGAAGGTCGTCACCTGCGCACGCGCGGGAATTATGTCCCATATATCCCACGATAACAACACACGCTAAAAACGCAAAGCCTCATGGGTAGACGCTTGTTCGTAAACAATGACACGCTTTGGCCATCTGACGCATGCGCAGGTGACGACTCCCCCGCTTTAAGTGTTATGAAGAGCGAAAATATTATTCGTTCAAAACCCAACTGCGAATTCCGAATTCCTAAATAAGTCCCTAGACAATCCTGGCGGGATTACCGTGCATGTGCATCCGGGTATGAATAGGTGAGATACGAGTTTCAGTAAGATTTGAATTTCTTCTAAACAGTCATATTCTTGGAGGAATCCATGTAATAATATTAGTTCATCATATATGAAAAAACTACTACTTACCTCTCCGGCCATGAATTGTCCGAATCCAAGAGGAAAGGTCAAAGTGGACAAAATAATAGTGACAATAGCGGGGTAAATAAAACGGCTGAAATAAAAAAAAAATTATAATTAATTGTACCTTTAATTTCTGCCGGTGAAGAGGACACAGAGAGATATTTGTGTTATTTATTGGAAAGTTGAAAAACATACGATTTCGTTTTGTGTCTATTTCTCACTTTTTTTGAAGAAATCTTTTGACGATTGTTGGTCTTCTATTAAATTCTACTGTTTTTCTGTGCATGTAGACGAAGAGAGCGCCACCAAAGCCGGTAAATACCCTGAAATGACAGGAACACAAAACATACATAAATTACAGTCTCTGTCAAATATAGGTACGGTTTATCAAATATCCTTTCAATTGGTTACCATGAGTCGATGGTTATGATTCAAGAATGGCAAATGCCTACACTACATGCCAATGAAACCGCCGCGGGACGTCACGTATCTTTGAATAATAATGAGAGCTTGCAACACGGTTCTTGGTGATGGATGTTGCTATGGCAAAGTTACTTACCCTATGAGTGCAAAGACAAATATTTCTGTTACGTCGTATGGAATATCCAAACGAAATGAAGTATTGTAGAGAGCCACGATGGTTTCTGCAATGAACGCATTGATACAGTGGCAATAAAGTCAATAAACAGCTAAATACAGTGAGTGTGTAGTATATACATGTAACAGGTATACTTACGGGTTCACTTAAAGGGCAGAAGTCGTCATGCATTTTTGTGTTGATAAGTATTGATTTTCTTACAATCTAATACGCTCTTCTAATGGAAATCACAAGTACGAGTTTAGACCTTGGCGCTACGTTAAAGCGGAGGAGGGGTCGTCACCTGCGCACGCGCGGGAATTGAGTTCCAAGCGACTATAACAACACACGCTAAAAACGCAAAGGCTCATGGGTAAACGGTTGTTTGTAAACAATGACACGTTATGACCATCTGACGCATGTGCAGGTGACGACTCCCCCGCTTTAACTAATTACCGCCGGTAACTCTTCTGTGCCTTTCCAATCACCGAATAAATTACACAGTTAAAGCTGGGTAACGTATCAGTTTGTACTCGTTGGTCTGCGCAACAGCCAAAGTCGCCATCTTTGGTCATATATGAACCCATATCTTGCGCATGTGTGGCGCGACGACCACCTCTCTTTAACATAATACATTGTAAGGCAGATCGATTTTACTTCACTAAATAATGGTTTCTGAAGAATAAATTTGAAAAGAAAATATTAATCCCACCCTGAGATCGGTATGCAAAAAAGCGCCCAAGACGCCAGCGAAATATGTGGCATTGCTAAAAGATGGTTGTGATTCACTCACTCTTCTGTTTGTAGTCGTCTTATAGAACGATATTTACAAAACTGTTAATAGCAGAGGGCATTATATTATATTGAGTCAAAAGAGTGTGTATGTGATTTAACTACCTTCGTTTTCGCTCCATACAGCCAATAATCGAAACATCAGTGCAGCACATGTAGCAGAGAAGAATCCGCGAAAATAATTCCGGACAGCGAAATACGACGTTGTGACTTCAATACTGAATAGGACGCCCCCTATCGGCGCAGAGAAAGTGCATGCTACGCCAACTGCACATGCGGCGACCAGCATGTCGTAGTTTTTGTATTCGTTCTGTGGAAATAGAATACACATACTTGGCATGAACTTGTAGATCGTAACATTATTATATCAAACGATCAAAATTAAA